TATTATGACGTACATCTCCATCATGAACGGGCGTTGGCGCCCGGTTCGCCATGTTGTAAGCTGTCCGCCTAGCTTCATTGATCTTGTTCATTCGGGAATAGATAGCATGGAACTTGTCCCTGAACAAAGGCACCATGCCTTTAGCAATGAAGCCATGAATGGGTACAGAGTCAAGAGCGTCATCGTCTTGTGGAAGCGGATCTTCGGCGCGCATCTCTATATGGCCATTATTGACCACTAGATGAACCCGATAGATGGAATTCTTTTCCTCAGGGAGCAACACATTTCCAAGGTCAAAGTGTGTGGCTTCTGCCTTGAGTGTGACCAGGGTGAGTTTAGGTTGGATGACACCATTGACTTTTGTGTACGTCGGTGGCTCGTCTTCACTGACTCCTTCTAGGAACCCATTTAGATGTTGCGGGTCGATGAAGCGGAGTTGATCTCGCAAGATTAGAGCGCGCTTTTGAGGCTTATTAAGCGCGTTGAAGGTTGGGGCCGCAATGCTCATGGTAAGAAGCTGAATGGATTGTGTTGGGATCGTGGCTAGACTTTTCATGAACACTGACGGCGACTGGTCAACTCACCAACTAGAAGCAGAAGTTTGTTAGTAGGAAACGGGTTGCAATTGACTGGAAAGGGAAGCTGACAAGTGAACTCGAACAAAAAGGACCCGTTGGTGAGTATAAATACCTTAAGGCAGCAGTCTGGCGCCGTCCTCTCACTCTTGCGCCATCCGGTCCGCCCCCCACAGCCTTTGTGCTTGCGTTCTTTCACCACAGAATGGGTATTCTGCTCTTCACGGCCAGACATTGAGCTTCTTGATTCGGCGCCTGTAGACATATCTGGGTGAATCGATGATGTTTTCATCATAATGAATCTGGAGCTTTGAGTGTCCGTGGATAAAGTGGTGTACATTTGCACATGAAAGTCGCATGATTCTAGAGAGAACCAGGTGAAATGCCAGGAGAATAAAGAAGCTATGGCCGGATTTGACTCACGTGGCACGATTAGTCAGAAGTGAGGCCCTGGAGATGGAAGGAGCGACTAGAGCGCATGGCATTGGGTAATTCCATCGTCCGGCACAAGAATACTTCCAGCATAGCAATAACACACGCACTGAAAGCTCACGTGAATCATGTAGAACCACAGCATATCACAGAAGATGACTGGTCATGGAATTATGGCTCTATGATAACCAAGCTTTGACTGCAACCAGCACACTGGCGTGTAGCTAAAAGCTGGGAATATGATACAAGACATAACTCGTGTCTCAAACCTACAAGTACAAGCCCTCAGGCTCACCCTCAGTCTTCGTCTTGAGCACGCGCTCCCTTGCAGTCCTAAAGTCTTCCATGTTTACACGCATACGGCGCTCACGTAGGGCCATGAGACCGGCCTCGGAACAGATCGCCTTGACGTCAGCACCGGAGAGGTCGTCTTTCTGGTTGATGAATTCGTCAAGATCGACATCTTCATTGAGCGACATCTTAGAGGTGTGGAGAGTGAAAATCTTCTTCTTGGTGGTTTCTGATAATGGTCAGCACTGGCATACTTGAACGGATGTCGCAACTTACGATCAGGGTTCTCAAAGAGAATCTTTCGGTCAATACGACCAGGTCGAATCAGGGCAGGGTCTAGCGTCTCAATCTTGTTGGTGGCCATGATGACCTTGACATCACCACGGTCGTCGAAACCGTCCAGCTGGTTCAGGAGTTCCAGCATAGTTCTCTGGATTTCTCGTTCACCTCCCGAAGTCGACTCGTAACGCTTGGTACCAATGGCGTCGATTTCGTCAATAAAGACAATGGAGGGGGCATTCTCAGCAGCTGTCTGGAACAGCTGTCGGACTAGCCTGGGACCGTCTCCAAGGTACTTTTGGATAAGCTCACTACCAACGATGCGTAGGAACGTAGCACTTGTCTGGTTGGCAACAGCCTTGGCCAACAGCGTCTTTCCGGTACCGGGGGCACCGTACAGAATGACACCTTTCGGTGGCTTAATGCCCATCTCCTCGTACAGCTCCGGATGCAGAAGAGGCAGCTCGACAGCCTCTCGTACTTCTTGAATCTGCGACTCAAGACCACCAATGTCTGCGTATGATTCGGTGGGCGCCTTGTCGAGCTTCATGACTGAGACGGACGGATCGGCATCATCTGTGAGCACACCGACCACGGAGACGGACTTGTGGTGCAGGAGGATGCTCGCGCCAGGCTCGAGTAGATCCTTGTCGACGAAAGACATGATGGAAACGTAGTATTCGGGGCCAGTCGCGCTCGAGACAATGGCGTGGTCGTCGTCGATGAGTTCCTCCAAATTGCCAACGCCCATGGGACTGCCTCGCATGTCGTCGACGCGCGAACGCTCGTCGGCATTCCGGTCTTCCGCACCTTCTCCGGCGGTTGATGCGGCGGGCGCATTTCCTTCCTTGACGGCCTTTGCCTTGCGGAGGCGCTCCTGGTTCTCAACGTATTCCTCTTCTAGCAATAGGTGGTCGTGAATGCGCTGCATCCGGAGATATCGTAGCTTGCATCGCGCGGTCGGGTAGACGGTGGGGAGCTTTGCGGCGGCACTGGGACCAGCGGCCTTCTTCTTCTTCCTGCCGATGCGGGTCGTGGGTTGTGGCGGGGGCTCGTACTTTGGCTTATCCTTCTACAAGGCGGCTGTCAGTGTCTGGGCTGAGACACCACATGGCGGGCTCGCAAATGCTGTCAAGCCTGAGATGGCAGTTGGTACACACCTTGTCTTTCTTGCTCTTATCATCACCTGGAGGCCCACCTCCTGCGCTCGACTGCTGGTTACCCTAGACGTGGTCAGCATATCGTGGTTGCCGCTCGGGGAAGAAGCAATGTTACATACCATGACACCTGTTCAGGCAGAAGTGAGTGGATCAAGCGTGTATACCAATGAAGGGGGTCAATGACAGGATGGCCGGGCGCGCGTGGTGGGGGTGAAGACGATGAAGGCTTTGTGAGGCCGTGGATGTTTGTAAGAGGTGTTGATGTGCTGATGGCGAAGCTCGTGCATGTCGGGGGTCGGGACTAGTCCGCTGTGGCGTCACTGCACTCGATACCGCCTGGAGCCCCAGCTCTACCAACCCCAATCCATACATACTACATTTATATAGACTTGACAAGGACAGACTCACCAGATTTCTTCTGACAAACGTCTTCGTTCAAACAGGCACACAAACACACCCATCCCATCCACTGCTTGTGTCTCGAACCATCTGGAGGATCCACGCCGTCGAGCTTCAACCCCGCCGGCGAGCTTCCTGCGCCCTTCACTGGGTACGTACTTGGCCTTCATTCTCATACGGTACGGGTAGGTGGCGTGTTTTGCTTGTCCCATTCTGGCCCAGCATACGTCTATGGCTGCAGATTGCCAAACACGCTCTCCAACCGTATTCACGATGCATTCCCCGCACCGGTCGTTATGGGCCTCAGGCTGACTCTCACGTCTAGAAATACCCCGGTTGCACCCACCACCCACTTGCTGCCTACTTCCTCCAGCCTTGCCCTGCCTCCTTCCCCCCGCCTCACTTTCAACTGCACACACTCCACCACCACGCTGCCATGGCTGCATCGAACCGAAGCAGGCGCATTGCCAAGGAGATTGCCGATATCAAAAACGACCAGCACTCCAAAATCATTGTCGAGCCCGCAGGAAACGGCGATGATCTCACACATCTGCGCGGCCAGTTCACGGGGCCACCCGATACCCCATACGAGGGCGCCACCTACTTTGTCGACATCAAGATTCCTAGCGAGTATCCCTTCCGTCCGCCTGTGATGAAGTTCGACACCAAGATCTGGCACCCCAACGTCAGTTCACAGACAGTGAGTGCCCGCGCTGCCATGATCTTCTACTTAGAGCCACCCAAACCTAACAAGCACAGGGCGCCATCTGTCTAGACACACTATCGTCCCAATGGTCGCCAGTCCTGACCATCAAATCAGCCCTCATCTCGCTCCAATCTCTCCTCAGCACACCCGAACCAAAGGATCCCCAAGACGCAGAAGTCGCTGGCATGCTCATCCGGAACCCGGCCGAGTTTGAGCACAAGGCCCGTGAGTGGGCGGTCAAGTACGCCGGTGCGCCACAAAAGGAAATCGCAGAAGGCAGCGGTGGTGCCACGGCTGCTTCGATCAAGAAGAAGGCTCAACAAGCCAAGCAAAACGAAGAAAAGTCCAAACTGGCAGCATACCGGGGCTACAATAAGGACTTAATAGACCGCTTTGTGGCAATGGGCTTCGACGTTGAGATTGTCGTAGAAGCCTTTGAGTATGTTGGCATCGATCGCATGGGCGGTGAGGACTATGAGCTGGAAGAGGCCTACATGGGCGACATTACTGCCCGCCTGTTTGGCGAAGCTTGAGCCCATCATATTTTTTGCCTTCATTTTCTTATCGACATGTTACCGCACAGCGGATAAGGGCATGCTTTGTCCTAGTAATTGCCAAGACCAGCATCCTATCCACTGGTTCCTGGCATGCGCGTTGAGGGCCCCAAGGCTAGAACTGTCCACCATCCTAGACCGTCATGGCTTCTGAAGTGGGTCATGAGAAGCAGGCGTTTCCTTTTCCTTCATATTATGTTATCTAACTTATTTCATCACTCACAAAGGCGTCACATGACTGGTGTTATGGCTAGGGCAGAGGACATTCCAGGATAAGTGGATTTCTCAATAAATGATTTTTCGAGAAAACAAATCTGTTCAACTGTGATTTAATGTTGTGAGGTTCTTTAAAGGATATGCTTGAGATACTGCAATCACGTGTGTCAATACCGCGACCAAAAGATTCGTCAAGTAAGGAATGAACTTGAAGTTTTCACACAAGTACTGAACCATCAGTCGTTATGTACAGTTGTTGCGTTACAAGAGCGTCGTCTGAGCATAAAGGAGTGAGGACTGCAGAGGAATAAAAGATGAGTATTAAACATTGACTTCATCAGACATACAGGAATACCAACTATACTAATCGACATACTTACCGGGACCCTCACCGTCCAACAAGTACCCTCTGACTCTTCCTCGTCTCAGTGGCATAATTCCTCTTCTCCCCCGTAACAAGCAACTGCACATGACCCTTTACAGTCGGCGTGTACGTCACATTCGCACCCTGTTGGACAGCAAATGCTTCGTATGCAGGCTTACTGTTCAGAATCCACTGAGCACTCAACTTGACACCCGGATCCCAGCGCCCGACACTGGCTCTCACCACCTGACCTACAGAGACTTTGTCGGCACCTTGAATCTGGGGATCCGCCTGGCGCTGAACCGCAGCCTTGCGGCCACCGTGCTTGATAACCTCATCCCAAACATTGCCACGCGTTGACGGCGCCGTACACGCTTCACAAAGCGGCTTGGGACCTCCGGGAGCATGCTCCTTCACCCAACTTTCCACCAACTCCAAATAATCCCAAATATCCCTATCTTGATAATTGCCCCCATGTGTCTTTTCCGGAAGGATAGTAACATTCGCCCAGCCCTTCCCGCCGACCTCATCCGTCCTGTTCCTAAACTCCTGTACGCCCTCATTGAGAAAATACGTATCCCACGAGCCGACGTAGACGAAAAGCCGGTCTGCAAGCGCAGTACCGAGATTGCGAGTGGACTTGAAGTTCGCAATGATGTATTCGGTGAGATCGAATTGTTTCCAGTAACTCACAGCTTGAGGGTAGATCTCGCCGGTCACCTTATCCCATGGCTCAAGTGGATAGTTATTGTAGCCTTGGACCCCGAACACGGCGTTCCAGATGTCCCACTGGTTGAAGGAGCGCGAGGCAGTGCCGAAGGTGAGTTCCCAGTGGCTTTCGGACGCGACGGTGGCTTCGATGACTTGCGTGCCGTTGACGAAGGTCCGGATACTGGGGACGCTGCTGCCATCGTCGCGAGTGTATGCGTTGGAAGCGGTGTAGAGAGCGATGTCTTGGTGGCGGTAGAAGGATAGGGAGTCTGGGTAGGAAGAGAAGCAGGCGCCGAAGAGGTCGGGGCGGTAGATTACGTTTGCGATTGATTCCCAGCCGCCGGTTGAGCCGCCGTCTTGGATGCGGGCGTAGGGGGAGCGGATGGTGTGGAATTCTTGTTCGATGTAGGGTAGGAGTTCATCGTTTAGGGCATCGCCGTAGGGACCTAGGTTTGCGGTGTTGACGGCGTACTAGTCGTCATAGTAGGGTGCTTCGTGGCGGAAGGCGACAGTGATGAATTTAGGAACTGGCCGTTCTGGCTTGCTGCCTGTTGCGGGGATGATGCCTTTGTTCCAGATGGAGGTGAAAGTCTCGTCTTTGCCGTAATTGTACGCACCAAAACCATCTGCCCAGTGGTTTTGGTGGTAGATGACGGGGTACCGTGTCTTTGTGTCATTGGCATTGTAGCCGGCTGGTAGCACGATGTTGGCGCCAACGTACATGTCTCGTCCCCAGAACTTGCTTAGCTTTTTACTACGGATCTTGATATGCTTGAGAAGCTCTGTGTCCTCGTAATTGCCCTGGTTGCATCCGCCGATTTCTTTCCCATTGAATTCGGGGACTTCGGTGATGTTGTTGAAGGTCAGTTGAATGGCTTGTTGGCTGCCAGATATGGTGATGTTTGTAACTGGTGTCACTAGACTGCCAAAGCCATTGACGTTTGGCGCACCGTCGCCGCATGGAAAGCGGAGGCTAACCTTGGATCCATCGCTGCGGGTTACAGTCTCGTATCTGGTGAGGAATGCTTGTACACTGTAGGTACCTGGGTCAATGTTGTCAAGACTGGGGTTTGGCCAACCAAAGACTCCAGTTGCAGTACTGTCGTTACCACCACCAGACAACGTGACGGCCTTATCCGATCCAAACCCGTACACGTTCTTTCCGAATATCTTGTTGGGTGATGAAGTGACATCGGTGTCATCGAGAGGATCGGTTCCAGCAGGCGCAAACATCAATACAATGCGACCATCGGTAGTTGTATCCAAGAGCCCGTTAGCAACCAATAGTTCGACGTTGAGGTTAGTGGCATTGCTGCGCTTTGTATCGGACAAGGCAGCAGGATGAGCCAATGCCCCGACAGTGAGCGAAGCAAGAAGGAAATGCTTGATCATTTTGCACACGAGAACTGTAAAACAGTCTCAATCGAAGGAAAACAAAGTTCGATCACTTAGAGTACCAAGCTTTTGGTGGGTGGGTAAGCTTTTCTATGCTCATATGAAAATCTAGGCTAACCGTCATAGTTCTAGCCACATGGAGAAGACGCAAACCCTGGCTCTCGGTCGATCGATAAAGCGGGAAACCCCAGACCAAGCGGGCTAGTCCACCAAAACGACCAATCTTCACAACAGGATATCAGCAGCACCACAATATTATTTTAAGAGAAAATTAGAGCCAGTGATCGCGCTTACTCTATAAGTACTATACCTAAGCGTATAATAACTAAAATAATATCAGTCGTGCTGCAGCAGGAGCAGCGTTTCTAAGCGGGCTTCATACCGTTGGTGTTAGGCAATTTTATTTCCAGCTTACCCGATCGACCGAGAGGCTGGCGGGTCACTGAGTGGGGGCTACAAGATAACTGTCCGAGATTGATACCAAATACGAAAGATAGAAGCAATTATATCACCAAACATGTTTATCCATGTATCGTGATTAATAATTGGAGACTGCTAGTGATGCTAGTGTAGTTCCAGCACAGTGGTTTCTGGCATCACTTACGCAGGAACCATGTCTTGATATTCCTGGAAATAGTACAAGATTCACCCGTTCAACTGAGAACAGGAAGCATAAAGTTTCTTGATGTCGCGAGCTTTAGAATGCAATATGTGCTTTGCTTGTGCAAGTAGTACAAGTGCTGTCAGGTCAAGCGGCTAACTACATTTGGCCAATGATAACATTCTGGCAGATGACAGCAACATCAATAATACTTTCATCCTGGCTCTACCTTTCTACGATTTTGTCAAATTTTTTAAGAGAATAAGGGTGGACGTGAGCATGATAACCTTTTTCGTTCTGCACTGTCTACCTAACTTACTTGACGTCACGACTTCTAGATCGACTACACTGGCGTATCCAGACACCTCACACAAGATGAACATACCTCAATCCACCCACAATGGCCCATATAACCATCAGACATAACAAGCTTGGCTTGATAAGATGCCTAAAACAAAACAACAATGCCTTCATCAAGCTCCTAGGTCTTCCCTACGGCACCATCCCCCATCGTTTCTCACGCGCGAAGCTCTGTCCAAGCCTATCAAACAGCAACAGCGAGAGATACAAAGACGGTATATTTGACGCCACAGTTCCTAGTCCCTCGAGTATCCAACCATGGGGCAGTGTCAAATCCGACGCTGCAAATATTCCGCTTCCAACAGACAACTTCCCAGATGATGAAGCCCAATCCGAGGATTGCCTGAATCTCTCTATACACCTACCCAGGACGCTCATAGATGATAATGCGGAAATACACTCTACGGCCAGATTACCCGTTCTCGTCTTCATTCATGGAGGCGCATATTTTTTAGGGTCAGCAAACCGACCATACTACAACCCGGAGAACCTCGTCAGCCACGCCATACACCGCAGCACGCCCATAATATTCGTAGCCATCAATTATCGCCTCGGCGCACTTGGATTCTTGCACTCCAACCACGCGGGAGATCTGGTCCCGGAGAACAACGGCATCCACGATCAGGTTCTCGCATTCGAGTGGTTACGAATGCACATTGGCGACTTTGGCGGAGATGTTGATAACATCACTGCTATCGGACAGAGTGCAGGGGCTGAAAGTATTTCCGTGCAGACTATGCACACGCCGTTGTTCAAGCGCGCTATCATGTTTTCTGGGACGCCCGTTACGATGCCTGCCATGATGCCGGACGAGCATCATGATAATTTTCTCGCGCAGGCGAAGAAACTGGGTCTTCGCATCACCGAAGAGTCTGACGATAGCGAGAGAGACGCCAGACTAATTGCAAATGATATGATAAACATCGATGTATCCAAGATTAGAGGCCTAGCCTGGGTCGGTCTGCCATGTACAAACAGTACATATTTTCCCTTTGAGCGACCGAGCATGCAGTTGGTAAAAGAAGGCAAACTGGCTCCTCCAAACTGGCGTGAATGGGCGAAACCCGTCGAAGCGCAGATTATTGGGTCGACTACGTATGACGGCGGGATATCCTACAACATGATGAGCAAAGACGGTAGCAGAAGCGGCCACGCTGAAGCCTTTACCAACATCGCTCAAGACGTCTTGGGTCCTAAAAATGGCACAGCACTTTTAGATCTGTATGGTATCAGCTCCGCAGCCAACGACGCAGACGCCCTCCAGCGCATCTGTCTGTTTGAAAGCGACATTGGCTTCTTTGCCGCAGCACTGAGTCTCGCGCAAGCAGACCTCGTGCCCGCCACTTATTTCCACGTCTTCGACCTTGGCAACCCGTTCCCGGGCCCCATGGGCAACCACGGGGCATTTGCAACGCACACTTTTGACATTGCTACGTTGCTTGGTGGAGATCATGAGGATAAATTACCCGCGCACTATGCACCCGTGCTTTCGCAGTGGCGCAATCGTATTCTCGATTTTGTTGTCCATGGAACGCCACCGTGTGCGAGATATACGAGCGCTGCTGCAGGAAACGGTCTGATTGTTGACGAGAAAGGCGTAAGAGAAGTTGGCGGTGAAGCATGGCTCGATAGCCATGGCGGGAGACGAGCAAGGTTGTTTGAGCTGGCGGCTAGTATTGATCCTGACGCTGGCTGCGATATTCTCTGGCTGGAAGTCTGTCGACGATTCTTGATGCAGAGCGAGTAAAAAATCGATATCTCTGTCTTTGACTCCTCTCAAAATACATATCATTCCCTACTTTCCGTCACGTTGCCCACCGTTTACGTGGATAGATGTCTACATGATTCATTGATCAGTTCACACGCAGGATACTAAAGATCAAACCTGTTGATCGTCATCATCGGTCCGAAAATGTAACCCAGCACGTCCGTCTCTCCTCGTTTGATTCGTCACTCGGACTTATATCTCTCGAGGTTAAGAGATAGATATGAGAAATCCCGCAACTTTGCCTCTTTCCCCGCTATCGTTTGATGCGGGGTAAATCTTACACATGCAGAGATACGCTGTGGTGTTTCCTGTGTTGACCGAACATTCGCCTGGTAAGCGTGAGACCCGACACTTTGGACCAGAACGACCCGTCTTTACAGGGAAGGTTTTCCTGGAGAACTACTTAAATGTAAAGCTTTCGCCGCGTACTTGCTTACATGTCTGTCCAAAACCATCTCGCACGAAGGATAAACATCTTATCGACGGTCTCGCCCACGCACTTCTATTACGCTGGCCCTGTGCACAAAGGCTCTTTTCCGTTGGTCTCAGTAGCACAACACGGCTCTTGGTGTGATAAGAAAGATGGCTTCCGCGGTTTTTGTCGATCCCAACGACCCCGGTGCGCCGATTGTGCAAAAGTATGCTCTCGAAGCAGCGAAGCGTTTGAGGGAAGATGGTATGAATCAGTATGAGCAGCTTCACTTTAGCGAAAATGAACGTCTACACAGCCTGGTTAAAGATATATGGGCCGATCATGATGCACTTGATGCGCTTCCTTTGCCCATTAAGGATGATGGTCGCGTCAAGTTTTTGATCATTGGGGCTGGGATAGCTGGAATTATCACGTCGATCAAATTGATTAAGAAAGGATTCAAACCGGAAGAAATACTCATGGTTGATACCGCCGGAGGTGTTGGAGGAACATGGTATTGGAATCGGTATCCGGTAGGCTGTTCATGCGTTACTTCGGGCCCGCATTGATGAGACTGACCACAGCAACATTAGGGATTGCATTGTGACGTTGAGTCATATTGCTATTTTCCCTTTTTGGAAGACACAGGATATATGCCTCAGAAAAAGTATTCCTCCAGTTTTGAGATTCGCAAGTACTTGGAGCAGCTCGTCGACAAGTTTGGGTTGAATAGTCGAATCTTGTTCCGCACACAAGCCAACAAACTCGAATGGAACGACGATATCAAGGCCTGGAAGGCTAGCGTAGTTATGAGACGTGGTCCAGAAGGAAAACAAGAGGAAAACCTTTCGTTTCATGCCGATACGGTTACCATTGCCACTGGTCCACTTCCTTACCCAAAAGTACCCAGAGTACCTGGATTGGCCCAATTTTCCAGGCCATTGCTCCATGCCTCGCGTTGGAACTACGACATCACCGGAGGTTCCGCCAATGACGAAATGCCAGACATGGCCAAGCTCAGAAACAAGGTAGTAGGTATCATCGGTACAGGTGCTACTACAATCCAACTTGTTCCCCAAACGGCCAGGTTCGCCAAGGATGTCTATGTATTTCAGCGCACACCTCCCCAAGTGTACGCTCTAGGTCAACGTGATACAGATCCCGAGGATTGGCATCGGAGGATAGCCGCGAAACCTAGGTGGCAACGAGCTCGGAGGGAGGCCTTTGCAGAAGCGGTGGTTGGGAATCGGAAAATGGAAGATGAAGATCCCAATCATGGATGGGTACAAATAAAAAGCTTCGGCTCCCTCTACGGCAACGCTCAGTTTGGCAATGTTACACGCGACAAATTGCAGGAGCATATTGGTAGACTGCTCGCACTCGATTCGAAGAACAGCGAAAGAGTCCGCTCGCGGATATCGGAGATTGTTAAAGACAAGGAAACGGCTGCAAAGATGACGCCTTGGTACCCGACATGGTGCAAGCGTCCGACTTTTAGTGACCAGTATCTGGAAGCCTTTAACAATAGTAATGTTCACATGGTTGACACAGATGGTGCTGGAATCGATAGCGTCACAACGAAGGGTGTTGTTGCCAACGGTCAAGAATACCCGGTTGATATCCTTATTCTAAGCACCGGGTATCGCTCACCGCGTGCTAGAGGGGCTCCAGGGGCGCGTACCGGCACGGAGATTATTGGTCGTCATGGGCGTCAAATATCAGAAAAGTGGGAAACACAGGGCGTCAGTACTTTCCAAGGAGTTCTAACCAACGGGTTTCCCAATCTCTTTATGCTAGGTATGGACCAAAGTACCTCAACAGCAAATTGGAGTCATGTCATGGATGTGATGAGCGAGCACGCGACTTCCATTATTGAAATTGCCTCTAGGCAGACGCTGGATAGACCGGGGACTGTAGTGATTGAGCCCTCGGCTGAGGCAGAGGAAGGGTGGGGCATGGCAATTGCGAAATGCTCTGGCCTCTTTGGTGCAAACGTAATCTGCACGCCAGGGCATCAAAATCTGGAGGGTGAGACACTAAAGATGCCAGCGCCAGATGACCATGAAGCAATGATGAAAAGGGCAAAGTCGGTGATTTGGGGCAGAGGTATAGTGGACTTTACCCGAATGTTGGAGAGGTGGCGTGAGGATGGCAAGTTGGAGGGTCTTGAAGTGACTGTGGGGTGAGGCAGGTGCGAGTAGCGCCAACAGGCAGGGATCCACCTTGAGTTGTATAGGACACATTGAATTGACGACTGCTTTCAAGCTGAGATAAAGAAAGCGAAACTAAATCGGATTGCCATGGGATTGGCCTCGATATTAGTAGTAGCTGGTTGAGGCTTATAAATTTTCAATCGATGCAACGACCATGTCACTTGCAGGCGTTGTAATGGCAATTCCTGTCCTATTATTGTGACTATCTTATGATCCTCCTTACTGATGTTGTCATCGAAAAGAGAAAGACCCAGAGGTCAACAGCTACAGCGCAAGCGGTGAATAACATGATGATGATGCTCGAATGAATCAAGGTATCGACCGTGTCCTAGCATTCGTGATGTCTGCTCTCATGCGAACGAGACTGAAGGTACAGGGGTCTCCTAGTGGTTGGTTAGTAACCATGCATGTAGGCTCGGTTCCGTACTTGCCGCTTTCAGCACTTGGTAGGCGTTGTCTGTTTCCAGCGCAACAGAGTCAGGCTTCACTCCGTCAGCCCACTTCCTTTCCCATTCTACAGTACCATGCACTCGATTCACTGGCCCGCCATCTCCAGAACTTGTTGGGTCATCTGCATATGTTCCTCCAGTGCCAGTAGCATTACCGTTCTTCACTGCACCACCAAAGCGAGTGCTGGGCTTGGCTGATGCTCCACGCTCATTGAATTTGCCGAGGATGACGAAGCCTGCTAAGCCCCAGATGAAAATGAAGGTGGCTGAGCAGCTAGCGATGAATACAGTGGGTACAACAAAGAGCAGAGAAAAGCCAACGACGAAGAAGGTGACGCTGAGGGAGACAAGTAGTCCGAGGAAGAGGCAGGTGGCCAGGGAGACAAGGAGAGTGGCGGCTGCGAAGGCGACGAAGAGAACGAGGGGAATGCCGGTGAATGCGGCTTGGGTGGTAAGGAAGGCCTTTGCATAGTCGTCAGTTTGGGCAATGCAGGCGCCTGTAGAGAACATACTGCTGTCTTGGGGTTTCGATTGGCATAGTCGCGTGACTGCTCAATCATCTCCTCCCGGCGGCGGGGTGGGAGGAGTTGGTTCGTGGTAGCCCCAATCTGGGCCTCGACGCTTTTGGCGGCATGGTGGACGCGATGGCCAACATGATCAACAATGTCCCCGGCTTTCTGGGCGACGGAAGGCATTGTGGGGGTGGGGAGATCGATGGAGACGGGATGAGATGAGATGACAGGAGATTAGCAGGGGACGAAGAAGCAATGGAGACGGATGGTGTTTGTCACTGGAGGGAGAAGGAAGGATGAAAGCACAGTTGGAATTGCCTATTTACACGGCACGCCGTTACCCTCGGAGCCAGCTACAGTAATTGATGGATCCAAATAGGGCAGCGCCAGGATGGTTGGCCACGACAATAGCGTTTGGGATATGCGGCAGTGAAGAGGGCTGGGACGCGTGATTCGCGCGTACGTCATGCCATCCGCGCTAGTCAACACCCTTGTCGCTCGCCTACCATCTTTCTCCTCACCGCCCCAGCGTTCTGCCAATTCAAGGTCGAACTTTTTGACATGGCGCGACACGCCCTCCCATATCGCGCCCGCACCGACGATATGAACGACAAGAAGAGAAAGAGACATGCCGAAAACGGCGACCGGCCCAAGAAGAAGGCCGTCGTCGCGCCCCAGGGCAATGTCCGCATCGACATGGTGGAGAGCAAAGAGACGCTGGGCCCATTGCTCGGTATGTGACTGCCTCTCCAGCCTGTCGCAATAACTGCGCCGTTGCCTGCAATGCCTACCGTTTCCCGCTGACTTTCCAAAGCTGTCACTCCTGGTCTTGCCGTTCCCCCAAAAATCTCATTCGCCCCATACAAGCGCACAAAGGTCCTCCCGCAGGGCGAAAGCACCGAGCTGCTCTTCCAGTCTTCTGATCATCCTCGCCTCGACTACATCGCACAGGAAGAGCGCGATGGCAGTTCCGAGAGCCAGCTACAGGACTACGTTGGTGTTTACGACCCGGCGACAAGTAAGCTGCAAATTGTCCCCGTCAAGAGAGTTGTTGTCCGAAGCACACTGCGAAGCGAAGTCGAAGAGATGCGCCAAGAGCAGGAAGCGCTCGAGGCCCAGAACAACACAATTATGGCAAAGAGAGCTGCGCTTGCAGCTGAATTCGGATCCAAGAAGTCAAGAAAGGCCCTCGAAGACCGCACGCTGAACGCCATTAAGAGTGGCGCCGGAGCCAATGAGGTTGCCGAGAACGTTTTGAAGCAAATGTCCACCTCCACCAGTGTCATGCCCACCAGCCAAGACCTTGCGGCAGCTGTCGACAGCTCAAAACCACGGCCAGTTCCAAATCTCGCAGCGGAATACCCCGGCGATGTCTACCCGATCAGTACTGTTGTTGGCAGCGAGCTAATGACTATGCTCGACGTAAAGGACTGGGTTCAGGCATCTGCAGCTGGTCAAGGTGTTGAAGTCACTAGCAAGTACGTTGCAAGGCGCATCGTCAAGCTCGCCAAGAACAAGCAAATCCAAAAACTAAAGGTTTTGCGTTTTATTTTGCTCTGCATAAACTTTAACGCCGCTTTGGTTGGTGCAGGCGGTGCTCGGCCAAAGAAAATACCCATTAAGGGTAAGCTGGAAGCCGCCATGGGTGAAGATGCGCCAGCCGGATGTGTTTTGGCCATCAGACGGAAGTTTGCCCCCGAGGGGTGAGTGTTTCTGATTCCCCAGTTACAAGAGACGGCGTTAACATTTTTTTAGGAGCTCCGAAATGCCTCGCTGGAACGTCGATAATCTCATGACCCACATCGCAGCCGCAGCCCTTATCGTCGATGACCAAGCAGTCGACGTCAATGATCTCCGCGAAGACCTCAAACTCGAGAACAAGGAGTAAGTAGCCCGGCTTGTAGACCAGATCTGTAGCACATACTGACATTACCGATAGAATCAAGCAATACTTTGCTGAACTAGGCTGCAAACTCACACCCCCAACGCAGACAGATCTCACAAATCTGAAGCTCACAAAAGCCGAGAGTATCAATCATTTCGTTGCAAAACTCAAATTACCATTGACGTTTCCAAAAGTCGGGGGCAGGTTTAAGAGCAAGTAGTCATAGTCAATTTTTTTTAGCGTCGTGATTGCAGTTATCCACAGGTGTTCGGGTCTAGTCACCGAATTGAATGTATACATGTTTGAACACTTACGAGAAGACCTCTTCTGTTCTTGGTTGGGGTGGACCAAATTAAGTTGCGATCAATGACTTGTCGATTATTTGGTGTTTCCCTCCGTACGGGTACTGATGAGATTGCTAATCAAATCTTTAATGTGCAAAGATAATCACCTTTTCCCCGACAGTCTTGGAATTCCTCTCAATCAGGAAATAGTTGTGCGGATTGTCTTTCGAATATCCGAATGACCTAGCTTACTAGCCGTACTACTTGAAGTACTTAGTGCAGGCTTCATCTTGTATTTGGACACACTCGTCTGCCCCTTCTGTACAGGCTAGCAGATGGGTATCTCTTACCCGGAGGTATGGTAGTGGTCGCACGGATCATGGGTATGGGTTGGGTAGGGTCAGACCATTTCTGGATAGAGGTAGGGTGGGGTCGCACAGACCATGGGTAGGGGTAGAGGTATGGTAGAGGGTCACCCGCCTGCTATCCTAGTTGCCACGCGCACACATGGAATGTGCAGGATCATGTCATCTGCCTAGTTTAAATATAGTAGCTGGGTACGATGACGAATTGGGAATATTCTAAAATCAACGTAGGCCTTGTAGACATGTCGTGCGCATTTATTGTTCTTTTCTCACGCTTTACCATAACGCATCCTGCTCAAGTAAGGTGTCAAATGCTGAACATCCTGACGCGACATCACTTATCTTGAACTTTGAGCCAAAGTAATTCCTGCATGAGACATTGTTGTAGTCCACTGTATAAGGCGGACTGTAGCGTGGCCTCGTGCAACAATTAACTTTGGATTCCTTGTACGCGAAAACCCCCAGGGGACTGATCATAATATGCAACAAAAGCTGCAATAAGTCCAACGAGTACTCCAGTGACTTGTATTTTTATTTCATTCTTGTGCTATCGTATGTTTCCTATATGGACATGCAACAGCACATAAGCTGCACTGACACATCGTCCGCAGTAGGACTTTGGGAGCCCCATCCCCACCCTTCTACTCTCGACCCATTCTCCCACCGTGCTACGAACCTCAAAGGCTTCGAGAACTAAAGACTCTATGACGGAACTCAGTTCCAAATTCCCATCAAAGCCCCATGCGCATGTGAATTTTACCATGACCCTAACATGCAAACCAATGACACCACCACAACGCCATTCCCGCCATTGTCCCACCGACCCAGCAAATATCCAAAACAAACGATCTACACGTTGTAAAAACCACAAGCCACTTGTTTAGATACCGATCTGCAATGAGCCTACCACATCATTGACTTTTGTCTCTCCCGCTCCAATAGATGACTCCATGTCCAAGTGTCGTCATGACATCACGATTGTCACTCAAGCGCATCACCCACTCGCACAATCCCTATCTCCCAGTGACGACAAGCGCCCCAAACCCAAGCCTGTCAAGTAACATCTACCTATCCCCTTAAATATAAATAATACTTGTCAACCCTCGAGAAAGTTACACACCCCATCCACACCCAAATTTAAATCCCAACAACTCCAAACCTAACCTCCAAGACTCCTCCCCCGAACAAAAATCCAAAATGCCCAAGTCCACCGGCCCCCTCATGGAACAACTCGGCATGGGCACAGAGAACCAATCCACACCCAAATCCACCTACCCAGACTCATCCAACATGACCGACAGCACCACCGCGGCAGCCGATAAACTCGGCGCCAACAAATCCACAAACGCCATTCCCCAGGACAACCCCAGTATGCTCTCTTCTGCAGGTGCAATTGGGAAGAACTGTATGTTTCACATCCATCTCACCCCTTCCCATTTGAAATATCCCGTTTTCAAGTTGATATGGTACTAATGTTCGAGGGAAATAAGTCAACCCAGATGGCGCGGTAGGAGCTATTGGCCAAGCGATTGGAGGTCCTTTTAGCAAGGATGGTGTCATTGGAAGCCAGTTTGATGCGAGTAAGAATGGGATTGCGGGACATGTGGAGCGGGCGGTTGATGGGCCGAGCAATCCGGCTGGAAGCTCAAAGTAAAGTTGCTATGTAGAAGACGACTTGTAAATATAGCCAAGAGGCCAATGTATTGAATTGAGGAAAGAAATGTAAACTTGAAGTTCACTAAAACCATGTAAAGTGTTGGGTTATTGGTGTCTCTTCCACATCACAGTGTTTGTAAAATCTGCATAACAGTAGGGCGGCTTGACAGATCGTAATACAGAATCTTCATTTACACAGTTACTGCAATGCTAATAATACAGTGACGAGTTTTGCTTGTGTAATACCAAAATCGCATTACCCATCATAAACAGACTACATGGCATTTCCAGCCTGTATGTCTAACCTCCTAGCCTACGGCCAGGTCCCATTCCACCCCAAGACGTGTTCGCACCCGTAGTCCTGCCCGTAGTTGGCTGTGCGCCGCTTCCAGGTGCACCGGCCGCCCTTCCGCGTCCCTGCACAGCATGCCCGTATCCCCTATCCTGGACACTGCCGGCTGTTGCACTGAACCAACCCTTCACAATCTGAGGGGTACGAATGTAGTTTGTTCCACCTCCGAACGTAGGCCAGATCCTTGTGAGGAAATCGTAGAGATGTGCAGCAAGGAGGCCGGTCAGTTGCGAAGCCGCTGCATCAGGACCATCGATGACGAATGTAAGGAACAGCATGGCGAAAGGCAGGAACTTGGCGTCGAAGTTGAGAATGAAGAATTGCACGGATCGCGTAGGGTTGTCCTGGCCAAAGGTGTACGCGTATGCGAGAGACAGCGCAGGAAGGAAGGTGTATGAGCCTAAAAGGCAGCCTGCCGTTCCCTTTACATGGACCGTTAGCACAAGCCCATTCCAGGTTACATCCACAACAAGCGATTCAACAAAGCAAAACAAGTGGTAAAGGTATGTAGGGAGCCCCAAATAACCTTGCGAAATAGAGAGTTCGCAACGCATCGTTATGTGACAATCCCACCATGCCTACACACCATACAGTCCCTTTTGGATTGTAGCGGAACTGCATGATGTGCAAGGGTATTCTTCCTCGATTCCAGGAACCGCTTCAGCTAGATTATTTTTTGACTGGGCGGGCAGATATGTCGAGGTGGTCGAGACCGTAGTCGGTGCGTCGCAGACAGCTTGGGTCGATGCGATATGGACAAAGTACATGTATATGCGATGGGGCGCAGAATAGCTACGAGCAGGTACTTACCACAATGACGCTGCCAACGAACATGGTATACACAAAAAAGTCGCCGGGCTGTGAAAAGCGGCTGGACTCGCGCTCAATGGAGCTGCCATATTGGTACAAAAAGTATGGGTCAAGCAGGATGCCGAACTTCGGTTTCGTGAGGAGAAACGCAGAGAAGAGTCGCCAGAGCTGCGGGATCATCTTGGTAGTGAAGACATATTGAGTCGCGAAGACGACATGGTAGAGGTTGAGGATGCCACCATAACCCAGCGCCGACACGACGACAGCTGCAGCTGTAATGGATCTATGGGAAGCTGTTAGATGCGAAACCTTAAGAGCTACGCGAAGAAGAATAAGGAAGCTTACCTAGAGACCGGGGGGAGCGTCCAAAAAACGTCCATTGTTGCGTGAAGCTGTGGCAGCCACAGACAGATGCGACAATGAAGTGTGGTGGGCGAGGAACAGCGGAAGTGCTGCCTAAAGAACCAGACGAAGCGAATTCGCAAGGTGGCTTTTGAAGAAAGCGGCGCGCCGTTGGTGGAGAGACCTTACGTCAGCCTTGCCTCCGCAGAACAAAGCACGTCATTGGTCCGTTAACTCCGCACCACCCCACACGCAGCAATGTCATTACTCCGTGATACATGGATTATTTGTGTGTTTTTGGGAATTGGTGTGGGTTCAGTGCTATAATAGTGCTAGTAATGTTTCTTTCAAGACTTTCTATGAGCAGAATGACTGTATAGATTGTGCTGTTGTGAAATCCTGGAATCATCTAGAAGAAGAGCCCCAAAACGGAAGCATGTCTGTAACCCATTCATTGCATGTGTGGATAACAAATAGACGCCTGATATCGTACAATACAAACAGCCTTCCCTAATCTCTAACCTGGCTCGTGGTATCCTCCCATATGCGACCCTATGCACTTTTTCCATCTGGTCCATGTACATCGCTCTCCGCTCCTACTCCTGGCGTCCCTCTCTCCTCGTACGTATCCTCGTACCGTCTCCAGATCTCCATATCCCTCGCCAGCCTCTTATGATGTCTAACGCGATGCTGATAATTCACCATGCGCTTGTCTGCTTCGAGCATGCCGCCTAGTATCATCCCACTCATTTGTATGTATCTGATCTGTGGATTAGCAACCATGGACTTTAGAGCAGCATGCAATTCAAGAGGGAAGGTATGTAATCATACGTTTTGAATTGGACAGTCAGACCGCGGTAGAGGGGGGAAAACGCATACGCGACACCGCCTCCTACGGCGAAGAAAGCACCCCACTGGTTGTATCAAAGTTAGTTTGATGTCTCTTGTATGGCCAGGAAGTCTTCTAAAACACAGATAAAGCATAGAAGGAATCAGATGACATGACTGCGACCTGTGCAGTCGTTGCAACTTCCAATCTTGACTCTCACGTGAGATTCGCTCATGCGCCCACAGCTAGCTCTTTCGTCATTACTTTCCTTCTCTTGCTTCCTGTTTTGAAGCAAACTCTTAAATTCGTAGTAAAGGGAAGGCAGGGATGTAATAGATGTAATCCGCGCGAGAGCCATCTCGTACCTTTGTACCGCCGACTAGCGCACCACGCGCCGCCTCCCAGGCCGCCTGGTTCGTCTCTTCATCCTTCTCTAAACTGCCATGTTGTCTGACCATCTTCTTAGCCGAATTACCATGAGAATATGGAAAAAGTTGTGATCTGGTCTCGAGATTGCAATTGGTTCGTCTGTGGCTTTGGTTTTGAAAGTGTGAGGTTCAATTAACTCGTTTCGAGCGAAATGATGTCGTCAACGTACATTTTCGGCCGGAGCTCGGACATGTCAATTATGAGCTTGTTTAGTGGGGTGCACCCCACGCAGTGCGATCGCAGACGGAAATGCACAATGTCCAAATCTGAACTGACTACATTTCATACCTGCAACAAACCAATGAATTAGTCATGTTTGGAATTTTAACGAAAAACTGAAAGTCGAGCATTTTTCTTGAGAAGAGTCCGAAACTTCAATCTTGTTTATAACAATCTAAATGGTATCTTTGAAGAAAAACAGCCGTCCAGAGATGAGCCTAAGCCTAGAACATGCATGTACTCAAGAAGTATAAATTATCCAGACCAGACGGTTCCTTCGCCCAACGACCAGAATTCCGAAATCGTCAGCTACCTGTGGTAGAAAAGAAACGCCGAATAACCTCTGTCGAGAAGGTATATGCAAAATGAGCCCTATATATATACAGGCGAAGAAAGCGATTGCAAACAAGCATTGCAACAATAGAGTGATGGTGGGCGAGAAGCAGTAAAATGCAGAGGCCCAATCACGATTAGGTGTGATTAAAGTTGTCTGTTTGATTACTCTGGGAATGGAAATCCAACTGATGTATTACCAAAAGACATTTCGAGCTCTTTTTCCAAAGGTGTACTGTCGTAGTCAATGTCTATCATCGGCGTCGTAGTTATTTCCGGAAGTAGGCTACCAAGCTGTAGATCCTTCTCTGCAGTAGGAGTGCTCTCGATGGTAACTTTTTCAAGAATCTTGCCTAGACTGTTTGCCGTATCTGGCCTTTCGAATTCTTCCTCATCGACATCCATGGCTGTTGGTATGCCGTGTGCGATGTTGTAATTGCGGGTCAAGTACTGCTGCAGACGATACTCTTGCCTGGCCCAACTCTCGTCAACCAGCCCCAACGCGGCCTTGATGTCTTGATCTGACAGACCTGTCGGGTAGTTGGGCTCTTTTGCAGTCTTGCTGACCACTCTGTTTGTGATTCTGCTTCGAACCGAGGATGATTTTGATTGGTTGTTTGTTGGCAAATCGTCACGCATTGATTTGACTTGGTCTTCTGTTTGCTTGAGCGCCATTTGGCGGGATTCATGCATAGATGGAAGATATAGGAGGGTAGTGTTTCGATGGAGCGCATTAACAAGATCCGTGAAGCCAGTCAAAGCGATACCATTGTCCTCACAGTATAGGTATTGCAGAGTATTGTTGACTTTGAGCACATCCGCAAGGGTACTCGCGCCTTGTACACCCAGCTTTTGATCTAATTCTATTAGTTCCTCAACTATTCTATACTCAAGAGGACGAACTTACATCTGATGTACAAAGCACGCAAGGTTTTGTTGCGCTGAAGTCCTCGCAACGCTCGGTTGATACCGACGCCTAATTTGGTTGTTTCGAGGCGAGAGTCTTCACCAGAAATATCGAGCCACTCAAGGCTTCTGTTATCAGCAAACATCTTCTCTAATGCTTGGCACGTCTCTTCTGAAGCGTCACATGGTAGAGATGCTCGCGAGATGTCCAGCTGTCGAATGGTGTTATTGGCGGCCAGAGCGAGTATCATCTTCCGAAAGTCGGCGTCTTCTTCGAACTCAAGCAAACGGAGAGTGAAGCTCGATGGGGCAAGGCCATTAGCGATTGCTTTTGTTAACGAGTCCAAGTCTTCCTCGATTCGGTTCTCGCTGACATCAAGATGGAGGTCGCGAGCTTTGCCCGGATGTTCGGTCATTGCGTGCAGAAGAAAAGCAATGTCCCTTCCAGTAAGAAAGCAATGATCTAATTTTATCTCGCGAAGGGCTGAAGACCGTTTGTAGTTAGAGAGGTAGCCGGCGATGGCATCGACGGTAGCCGCGTTGAGCGATGTTCCGCTAAGGATCAGCTCTTGTAATCTCCAGCCTTGGAATGTCTCGACGGATATTAGGGATTCAAGGCCAGAGGATCGCGCAAGATGTGAGAGATTCAGTCGTGTGAGATAGCCAAAAACGCCGATTTGAGAGTCGAAAATGCTTGGTGCAAGGCGGAAAGGATTGGACGAGAGATCGATGGCTTCTAGTGTGGTTTCTTGTGCACGCAATGCGTCTAGGACAAGAG